CAGTCATGTATGCTGCCAGAATTAAGACAGGATTTGGACAGCATACCAATAGAACGAGATCATTTCAAATCATATCATGAGTGTTTGAGAATACAGTTACCGATATTATTTGACTGGATAGAGCATATTAAGCCATGGGATGGATGTCAACATGAATATGACCAAACAAATAAAGAGGAGGTATGTATATTTTACCCACTATATAAAAATAATCTTAAATTAGTTGTTTATATATTGCAGTTGCAAGCAAAACTTTTTTTATTACTTTGTGAAATGTCTATGCAGGACACTGTATATACAGTGGACCAACCTGAGCTACTGAACAATGCTGATAGAATTCTACAAAGATCAGCTAGGGTTCCCAAGGTGGTACAGGAAAAATTACTTAAATACTATCAAGAAAAATTGCATAAGGATACTTGGAAGAGGCAAATAGGTGCCACAAATGGTTTTGTCAAATATTTAATGGTAAAAAGTTAAAAACTAAAATTAACAAATTCTTGTGTACGAATTCTTATTGTATGTTCTGTATTTCAGGTTAATGCAGCATCACCAAACCCCCAAGGCTTTATGGATCAAAAGTTACTCATGTTCTGTTTATCTGTTGGCCTGAATATTAGGACATGTTATGAAACCCATTACAAGCTCTTAAGTACACAAATATTTGCCATAATGCTTAACCAGGGGGTAAGGAATATGGAACTTTGGTATATCAATAAACTAAGTTTTTTTTTCTGTTTTCAGAATTTCGATGAAATCTTGTCTATGAATATACACAGTGTCATATATGATGCCGTTTTCAAAGATCTTCATATTATGGATTCTATTGAGTTTATACAGCATCAATGGAATTGTTTATTAAAATGTTTTGATTTTTATAAAGATATGGATAGTTTTACGGTAAGTTTGTGTGAGTATTTGATTTTGCAATAATTGAAGTGTTTTCTTAAATTCAATTATTTTTCAGTGGAATAAATTGGACGATTCTTTGGAAATTCTACTGCGAAATATACCACTTGCTCCCAACAGCGTGACATCAATAAATCTAATGAAATACCTTAATAGATTTATTGTATATTTCAATATAAATCGACAAGAATTTGATAATTACCTATGTACAAATTTAAAGGACAATGAGACAATAGATAAAATCCGTCTACTTGGAGGCAACAATTCAAGCTATACATCATACAGATGGTCTAAAACAATATTGCAAATGTTTATATTGGAATCATATCGTTTAATGCAGAATGTGGATATATGTTTGCATATGTTAAAGGTAAGCAAATTAAAATATCTATAAATTAAGCTATTGAGATTGATGATCACATTTTTAGGAAATTCACCGTTGTTATATTGTTGCCATGTATCCAATACATTTGCGTGTAATTGAGCCCCATCTCATAACATTTTATGATAAATTCACAGCCGTTCTAATGGAAGTTATTAAAGTACAAAAATATAATGGGGATATATTACAGGTAAGATACAACAATATATTTATTGTTTTTTATAAAATTAATTTCTTTGGGGATTTAGGAAATTACGCTGATTTTTGAATCCTTTTATTACCATCTAAGGGAATGTAATGCGGATTGTAAATTATTTAAATATAAAGATGCTTATTATAATATTTTACGTACAGATATGTTTAAAAAATATACAGAAATTAAATAAAAAATAAAAAAACACATTACATTTTATTATTATTCAAAAGGCCCCCTCAGGTATATAAAATTCAGTTCTAACTACGTCCATGCTCGCAAACACGTTTAGTTTTCTCAATCATGTTTCATCATACCGCACACACACAAAACTCACGAGTGCATCATAAACCTATACACCCACCAAACCGGTTTTATCCATTTACAAAATTTGTCAACACTAATTTGAATAAACCAAAAACAAGTAACCATATTCGCATGTATTACATCACCAATCTGTATACGAATAAACCAACCAGAGAAAACACTCAATTTTTAATCGAATTAGAATTTCGACGAAAAATTACAACAATAATTCGCATACATAAATAAATAGACGAATAAAAAAAATTATATTCGACTTTTAAAAAAATACCCGCCAATTTGTTTGTAAAATGAGTGACAATGAAAGCGATTCAAACCGCAGGAAGCGTAGCAGTCTCGTTTGGCAGTATTTTGAGAAATTAAGTGATTCTCGTGTCAAATGTCGGATATGTCGACATGAACAACGTTATATGGGTAATACGGCAAATGCCTTGAGGCATTTAAAAGTCAAACATGATATCGATGCGAGGCCCTGCGGTTTAAATGATCCAGATAATGTACGAAAAATGAAAGCCCTTTCCATGTCGGCAGGCCAATTGGAAAGGACTATAGCTGGCATCAGGAAGAAGGAACAACATTTGGAAGGTGATGACATTGTAAATAGTGTAACTGTTGAGGAGTACCAACCGGAAAGGAGAGAAGAAGAAAAGCTTTTCTTTCGTAACCGTCAAAATAGGCAGTATGACCACAACGAAGAGGAAACGGAAATAGATCCATACAACCCGGGCAATAATGAGGTATTCCATAAATATATGGCTTTATGTATGATTCGATAATTAACTTTCATTCCTTCTTGTTGTTATTTCCCTAGTTATTGGCGGATTTAGAAGTCTGGAATGATGGAACATATTCCCAGGAGGAACAATCAAAAGATCATCTGCATATTGAGCAACAATCGCATCCCCTGCCATCTAACAACAATAAAAACACAAACATTTCATCGGCTACTAAACGAAGACTAATTTTAGAGGAGCGTCGAATAATAGCCGAAACAAATTATTATCGCGAAAAGGCCGAATATTTTCGCATACAAAAACATTTAGCATTTCTGCAAGCGAAAAAGATTAAATATGAACTTGAACAATTGTATGGTGGGAATTAAAAAAAGTATAATTTTGAAATATGATGTATACAAATGTAAACTCAGCTGAAGAGTGAAGATTACCGATATGAAAGTTAGATCGCTTAATACAGAATCAATTTAAAATACTGCAAATAGACCTCGATGTACAAAATATCGATCAAAATTAATAATTTTTCCAAGTATTTTTTTAAGTCTTTGGCGGTATTAGTTCCTCGAAAATTATGCAACAGGAGCATATAGAATAAGTGCTCCTATGCTCGGCATGTACGAGTTGTTGGTATGTTTTTTATTTAAATTCCATTTACTAAAAAATCCTATTACTGAATTTGAAAAATATCTTGCCTAATCTTCAATAATATTGTCAGTTGTTTTAATTTAAAATATAATTAAGCAAAGTTAAGTTCAAAAACGTTCTTTATAAAAATTGAAAGACTCTTGAAATAAATAAGCCGATAAGCATTAATGCAAAATTCATTACGAAGTAAATATTTTGTGGATAAGGGAATTGTCTCAAATTTTGCTTGGACAAAACTAAAGTACAAACAGATGAGTTCTAAAATTTTAGTTATTTTTACCGTTACAATTACTATGTTTTGGTTTCTACGCCTGTTTTAGATCATTTCAGTATTACAAGGGTACTGGAAAGCATAGAAGTGGGTCAATAATAGTATTGGGCTATTTTTCATTTTATGACATTCGATCTATTTACGAGATTTATGAAATAATGGATCGTACAAAGTGTTGAAAAACGCTTCGATTGGTTGCGGGTGTCAATCAGATCTTCATCCTATGGAAAAATCTTTGAAGTGTCATAGGTAGCAAAATCAAAACAGATTCAAAAACAAATATAATTTCTTCCCAAAGGTTCAGGATGCGAGGAATAGTACACTTAAGGATCAATTTGAGCATCTTAGAGATTCAATGCCTCGTAGATGTGCTCCCATAATCAAAAATAATGGATACGCTGTCGATTACTTGCAAAATTTACATATTTGTAAGAAGAAAATCAATCATTTTTAATTTCTAAATAAATTTTGTTTTTAAAATTTTATTGAAGTGAGTAAATTATCTACTTATTTCTGAAAAAAAACTTTCACTATAACTTTATTTTCAAAAAAGTTACAGGTTATTTATTCACTTTGCAATTTTAGTTGCTTTAGTTTTGGCCAATAGTATATATATATATATATATATATATATATATATAATCATTATATGAGTTTACTAAACGCAGCTGAGTTTCCGAGTCGGTATGAAATTTAAAGTGGAATAGAATAGCGAAAAATGTAAGTGTCAACTACTGAAACACTCACCATATATCATTTGCAGATCAATTAAAAACTAATTCAACATATTTTATATTTCCATAAAACCTTTTCAAAATCAATGTAACATTTATCTTTCCTACACGCAATATAACCTTAATTAGAATCGATAATACTTACTTTAAATAAATATTCGCATTTCAGACCAGTAGGCAGGGAAAGCCTCTCACTACGAAGTGAGTAATCAGTAAAATTGATTTTTTGTAGTATATATAATGATAACGAAGAGACGTGGTAGATTCCAGATATGACACTCTTCTCTGACATAGATCCCACTATTATTTCAATTTTATTAAGATATTTCCATAGCTGAGTTTTTAACCTATCCCTTACAAGATTGGCAAAGGGTCTTGCCAAATAATTCATTTAAAATATTAATTTAACTTCTCTAAGTTTTAATTCAATTTTAGTCTTTAAAAATAATATTTAGGTGTCGTTGGAGCAACGCTACAATTGTTAATCCATTGGCTGAAACGTCCAATTTGTAGTAACTGGCAACAATTTGAAAATCCAAATTTAATAAATGGGTAATTGGTTGGTTTTTGTTGTAGAATGGTTCATTTTTTCATAATTATACTTATACGGTATTTATAATTATTCACATTCTATTTGCAGAATATTCGTCATCCCCCTCACTATAGATAACTATATGATATAACATTCAATGCTATATAAAAAAAGTTTTTTGAATTTTATTCTTAAAAATCGTTTCTTATTAAACTTTGGATATGTCTACAAGAAAATAATCATATATTACAATTAATATAAACTATTGTATAGTAATTACGACACTACACTATTATTATTATTATTATTACTATTACGTTTTGTCAACTGTTCAATTTCTATTCTAATTTTCTTGGCCTGTAGGGCTGTTAAATGTCTTTGTAGCTTAAAATATGCGGCTTTTTCACGGAAATATTCAGTCTCAGCAATAACACGTTCTTCGTCCAATTGTGAACGAATCTTTCTCTTTGATGGTGCTGGAACATTTTGATTGCCCCATTCATCGTCACTGACTGGATCTAGGGCTGGCTCTTCGGCACATATGTAATTCTCAAATGGCTAAAAACAGAAATTTGTAATTTTTATATATGCTTCACTAAAGACAATGTGATATACCTCTTCTTGTGTATAGGTATTATCTTGTACCTCATCTTCATCGAAGGGATTGGCCTCCTGACCAGCACCACCACCACAGTCCTTCGGCATTATTTCATTAAAGGAACGTTTTCGTGGTTTAGTGAAACCGGTCCGTTCCAATTTTATTGCCGAGACCGGCATTGTGTACATGGTGGGCTGATGTTGTTGTGGTGGCAAATTGCTTAACAGCATATGTAAACGTTCCTTGTGCTGAGGTTCTTGTTGTCCTTTGATTGTGGCATCCAAATCATGTTTCGATTTCAAATGTCTAAGAATATTACCCGTCGTTCCCTGATAGTTTTGTTCATGACCACATAGACGACATCGTACACGATATCGGGATAACTTTTCAAACAATTGCCAGACAAGACTTCGTTTTCGTGGACGATATTTGTCGTCTACATGTGGTTCCTGTTCATTATCACCATTTTCACTCTCACTCATTTTTTCGGTTTAATTTGATTTGAAACGAACTTTTGTATTTGAAAAAGTCCTGTTAGTTTTGCACCTCAGCGAATTTAACAAATAAACCGTAATTTTACTCGTGTAATTTCTTTGGCAATAGGGTAAAATCCGAAAAATATGACCGAATGTAAAATATTCATGTATATCACAAATCCGGTTTTACATTAGTGCTGTGTCATTTCGATTGGATAATCATATGGTAGGGTAGTAACCGGTTTATACGATTAAATAACCATATAAAGAAATATTCGTAATTTTTATTCGGTTCAGGAGTGTTCGTTTTTGTGTCTAACGTTTTTCACCGAATCTTGTTTTGTTTGAATTTAAATTTTTTATTAATTTTTAAAATTGTAAGATATGATTTCTTTTATCGTATATTAAATTATTCATTTCGTTTGCAATATCTCAAATAAAAATTCGATGTCGATTTAACAGTGTCCGTTTGTTGACGCTCGAAATATTTAAGTAGGACTGGTATTGAAAATGTGAGATTTATCAGGCCATATAGTCCCCATATAACATTGCCCAAAAATATTAGGTTTTTGAATTTGATGTATTTGTATGTGTATTAATTTGAATACCATGTCAAATAAATACAAATTAAAATTCAATTGAAATGAAAATGATCTGTCCGCTTTCGTTTAGAAGTACGTACTTTGGTACGGATGAAACTTACATATCATGGTATTGCCTACTGGATTTTGGAAGGAAATCATAATCTGTTATCCATTTTTCACGTTTTTTTGGTTATGCGTTTAAAAATGTATTTGACAGAAGAAGCCAATACCTACATAGTTGGCTTTTGTTATTTACCTCAAGTTATCTTGTATTCTTGTACAATGGTGCGGACAATTTCTTGAAAAAGCTGTTAATAGGTTAGTTCGTTTACTCAATAATTTGTACAAATTTGCACAAATTATTAAAAAATGTTGTTCCTTTACCCAAAAGCCCGTAAAAGAGAGTGAATTGAGAGAGTAGATTTGACAGTTGTGTTACTGAGTACTTGCAAATTCTTACTTGGAAAAATTTACTCAGTAAGGATTTTCTTGTACCATCAGCTGATATTTAATCAGCTGTTTTCTAAACAAACAACTAAATTGTTCTCAAGTAAATTGCTTGTTTTGTGAATTTTATATTTATTTTGTATCATTAAACATTCAAATGATTAAAAAGTACTTATAAACAACATCAATTTTCCACATGTTATCCATTTTTCTAATAAAAATTATGTTTTAATAAAAAATCAGTTGTGTGATACAACCTTTTTAATGCTGTTCCTTTTTGCAAATTGAAAATGGTATTTTACTCTCTGCAAATTTTTTATATTCAAAGTTCATATTTTTGAAATGAATAATTTTCATTTTTAATAAAAACTTTGAATATAAAATAATTAAATTATCACCAAATTAATATAAATTTAAACCAATTAATAGGTTATCAATTTCATAGGGTACCATTTTCTTGAAATATTTCTTAATGACCTTAGGCGTGATTCAGTTGTAAAATTGCGTCTTTTTTGTGAGTTGTAAATGACGATGTCACCAATTTCTGACAAAATCTACACTCTACACTCCATCAGTGACCCTCATTTAAAATTCCAATCCCAAAAACCCCGCCTTATCTGTCACCTTTGGACCAATAGTGACCCTTACCCAAAATTTCAAGATTCTAGTATATATTTATAAAATATCACAAATAAAACGGCATATACATTAGAACTTTTTACCGGGTTAACCTACTTTGTGAGGATTTATTGGGTTAACGAAATCCGGTTAAATGTAAACGAACTGTAATAGTACGTTTACATTTAACAGGATTTCGTACCAGTCGGTTTCAATTGTCAATTCCTTTGCGTATATGTCAAATAAATCCTCATAAAGTAGATTAACCCGGTAAAAAGTTCTAATGTATATGCCGTTTAACTTATAGAAACGTTTTCCGCTAATATAAATCGTTTTACGTTGTGATTGTGTTTAAACGCTTCAATACAGCAACTACCTACAACACCCTATTATTTGTGTCTGCAATCGTCTGTTTTGCCGCCATTTATTTTCTTCCCCCAAAAAAATAATAATAACAACAACAACTACATCATCACATCTGACATTATCAAAAGAAGGCAGGCAGACAGAAAAAAAGTATTTTTAGCGTCGCTGTCGTTTTCATTCGTGTCGTGTTCGAGACGAGTACAACTACTAACTACCCATAATAGTACTGGTTGGCTGGCTGTACCCCAAAACCGAAAAAAATTATAAAATAATTTGGTTTTCAATTCATTGATTACTCAATTTTTTGCCCTCTGATAATATTCTAAGGTAAAATACCGATTATTTACGGCGAGATAAATCAAAACAAAGCTTGTCGTTGTTGTTTGCCATTTGAAATAAATAATAACAAAATTCAAAGAAAAAAATAATTTAATTGTGTGAAAAACCGAATAAAATACGAGCATTTTAACACGAGGCAGAGAAATTGCGTCGCATAATTGGAAGACAATTTAGATTTTGGAGACAACACAGACTTGCGTGAATGAAATGCATCAGCGGGTAAATTTCCTAAAACGGCTTCCGAACACATTTGTATAAAATTGCAGGAATTACATTTTAAAAGAACACTGGAGAGCCAAGAGAATTGTTTCTATTACAATCGATATAATTGTGAAATGTGTGTTTTTGGGGTATTTGTTTTCTGAACGTGAAGACGCTGAGAGGGTAAATAATTTGGAATCGGAAGTGGCGTCGAACCAAGCTAAAAAAATTGCTTAAAGTTGTAAAAAATGAGATATGCTTTACGCTTTCCAGCAGCTGCTTATCGATTGGTGAAAGGCCAGGTGCTCCGTCTAATGTGATTTAAAAAATGTTTAATAGATGTTTTCATTGTGTTCATTGGAGTGTCTGTCATATAGCAATTGATTATTAATAAAATAAAAATAACTAATGTGTGTGTGTGTTTTTTTAATTTTTCAGCACCACTTAAATTCCCAGGACATGGATGAAGAAACAATGCAGGCTACTGCCTCGCTGGATCAATCCGCCTATGATGAAGAAGATCATAATGGTCGTTCCAGTGTGGATATGTCCGTCGAGAGAAAGGAACGTCGTGGTGCCAGCTATGTATGGAGTTATTGTGAAAAATTATCTCGCCACACCATACGTTGTAAACTTTGTCAAAAGGTCATGTCTTTCCATGGTACCGCCAATGTCATCACCCATCTGCAAAGACGTCACAATGTTCTCGGTGAACCGGGATCTCAATTGAATATGAAACTTGAAGCCTTACATCAGGTGAATCATATGGACAATAATGATGGATATGATAATGGTGGCGGGGATGGTTCGGTTAAGAAATATCCCAGAAAATCGCTAAGTTCAGCAAGTGTTGTATGGAAATATTGCACCCGCATTAGTTCCGATTCAGTTCGGTGTAGTTTTTGTAAAAAGAATCTATCCTATCAAGGAACATCGAATCTGCAAAGACATTTACATCGCATGCATGGTATAGTAACACATGGACGCATTAAACCAGCCGATGAATATGAAGCAGCTCGGGAGGATCAATTTAAAATACCAGCCAATACGGATTTTATTTGGCAATTTTGTACACAAATCAATGATAATCCACCACAGACCAAATGTAATATGTGTGATGGGGTATTCGATTCAAAGGATGCCGAGACCATAGTCAAACATTTGGCCATGATACATTCGGTGGAAACAAATCCCATTCATGATAATGACAACAACAACAGAAATACTGTGATGAGACAGCCAAGGAAAAGGCCAAGGCATATGGAATATGTAAGTTGCCATCAAACATTTCTCTGCATTGCATTCAAATTAAATATTCTTTCCTTTCTTTAGGAAAATAGTGAAGATGGTAATTTGGATGATTACTATACCAAGTGGACCAAAACAGATGAGGCTGAAGCCCAACAGATGACTGCTGAATTCGATGAAACAAATATTAAAAAAGACGAATATCTATATGATGAACTAATTGAAGAAGATCACAATAACTATGATGAAGAACCATTTGATCCAAGTGTAAGTTAGAAATGTAATTCTTAGCATTGAATGCAAAAACTAAACTAACCCAATTACAGCTTGAACAGGATATGCCCCAAGCAAATCCCCTCTCACCACAGACTTCAAGTAACAATTCGCCGGATCATCAACAGACGGCACTGGCCTATCAGCAGCAACAATCAAATTGTTCTGTACCCATACCGAATGTCTTACCACCCGTAGATGTAAAAGTCTTACAAAAACTTCAAGAGGACCGTCTGCGCATGGAAACGGAATATTTCCGGGAGAAGGCAGGCTTTTATCGCATGCAAAAGTACTTAACTGCATTGCAGGCGAAAAAGACTCGTTTCGAATTGGAACGCATGTCGCATGGCGAAGAAGCTACTGTGGTGACAGCAGCCGATTTAAATGGTGCCTATGCCGTGGAGGTAGCCATACCAGAACATCACATACAACAACAATAAATGTAGTATATATGAAAATATATACATTTTTTTATTTAATCATGTTTACTATTTTATTTAGATATGTAGGATAAATTGAATAATAACTTTACTATTTTTAATTATATTTACACATATATCTTTATATTGGATTTTAATAATGCAATTTAAAATATGCTTCAAACATTTTTTGTTTATCTTAGCAAGAGTTTTGGCTAATACTAGAATTTAGAATTACTCTAGTAATAAATGTGAATGATTTTTTATAACAATTCCACATAAGTTTGAATACGATTTTGGAAAAATTGGTGCGACAAATTTGCTACATCAAGTCAAAACATAGATCACAGAAATGCCCCATTTCTATTTCGAGCAAGCAAGACAGTTTAAAGGAGGTTTGTATAGGTTTTCATCTCACAGAACATCAAGAGATGTTGAACATTTTCTCAAAGAAGCCCAAGAGGTATTCCCCTATAAAACCACGAGCTTTCCCACCACCAATACCATGAGATCTTAACCCAGGACATCATGAGGTCTACCCCAGAACATCATGGGGTCTACCCCAGAATTACATGGGGTCCTCCCCGAAAAGATCATGAGCATTTTTTACAGAAAACCACTAGAACATTTTAAAGAAGACCATGAGGTCCAACCCCAGAAGACAGGGGTCTTCCCCCAATGTGACCATGAGGTCTTACCCCAGAATGTTGAATGTCGACTCGAAGCTCTTCTCATAGAAATATTCTCATAATATAAGATTTTCTCAAAGAAGAACATGATGTATTTCCCCGAAGACTATGAGGCCTTCCCATAAAAAACGACGAGTTCTTCCCCCAGAATTCCATTGGGTCTTCCCCCAGAATTCCATTGGGTCTTCTCCCAGAATACCATGGAGTTCTTCACAGAAGACAAAAGACCATGAACTCTTACTCTTCTGGGGTCTACCCAAGAATTCCATCGGGTCTTCCCCCAGAATACCATGGGGTCTCCCAAGAAGACCGCGAGGTATTTTAAAGGAGACCACGAGGACTTTTTATCATGGGGCCTTCCCCCAGAAGACAAACATAAACTGAAGTATTCTAGGTGAAATGACATAATTTCGGAACTAGTACAAACAAATTATAAGTTAAATTAATATTGTCCACATTGCTACGGATATTTTAGACATATATATTATATATACCGATTTCTTATCTGGGTAGACATACTGAAATTCAATGTAGAATATATTGTTCCTTTACATCGCCCCTCTGAAATAAAATGTTGTGGGTGAACATGGCACAGCTGCGAAGTTTTCTCATAGAAGGCTATGATAACTTCGCCACATTAAATGTGTCACTCCATGAGGTCTTCTGAGAGAAGATCGAGAGATCCTAACATAGAAAATTATGGAATAACACGGGGACTTTTCATAAGGTATGAGAAAAGATTATAGCGATTTTTTTCTTAGATGTTACAGGATCAAATGAAAAAGAACATTATTTTCTCATCTTAACCACGTTTAAATATAAACAGTTTTATATTTTTATACCCCATTCCTTTTAGAAATATTTTTTTAATTTTATACATATTTTTTATTTATTTTCAAATATTTGTTTTAGTTTTTTTATTTATGCGTTATATCACATAGAATTGTTTTTCCTTAAACATATACATAGTATGTATAAATATAATTAAGATTTCAAAACGCAAAAGAACTAACTTCAAATGAAAAAAAGAAAACAGAATATGAGGAGTAATAATTAATTTCATAACAAAAAAAAAAGGATATGGCTTTCTATAAATAAAATATATAATTTACAAAATATATATAGTATTAAAACAAAAAATATATAGTAAAATATATTTTTTTAATTTATAATAATATGCAGTTGTTTAAAGTATTCTTAATTGTATTCAATTATAATTCGAATACATGCGTGTTGTTATCATCTACATAACTAATTAACAATAATATCTAATAATTATCATCTGAATATATATATATGTGTTTGTGTATGCATGTATGTATGTGTATAATGTCATATGGTGCCTAACTAATGTTAAAAATTTTGTTTTATTTTTCTTATAAAACTTTAACATATAAAATGGGAGTTTATTGTTTTATTAATTACTTCATTCAAAAAAAACGAAAAATTTTGATTAAATTTTGAAAAATTAAATAAAATAATATAATTATTTTGTTTATACACCAGTTGTTATTGTACTATTTTTTCGTAAGATTTTTCCATAAATGGAAAGAAAATTCAAAATATAAAATAAAAATTTGAAGATAATGATTATGTGAAACTAGATTTTTATATATAAATTTAAAAAACTATTTAAATTTAGTGCTCAAATAGAACAGTCATTACAGCCATCAGTGCTATGCCACCTAACAGTGCAAATAATTGTTTTATGGATTCTTTGGGATTTTCCTCTTTTAATAAATCAGGTAATACTGTAACCAATGCTATGTGTAAAAAGCCTCCAGCTGTAAATGGCATAATCCATGATGTGCGAGCCTCTGTAAAAGTGTAAAAGTGGATTTTTAGTTTTAATTATTATTTCAATTTTGTTTGGTTACTTACCCATAGCCGATGTAACGCCTGAACCACCAATTGCCACCAGGGCACCCATTAAACCAGCACCAGCTGTTAAAAGTTGAGCCCGAGCAGCATCCCATCGACTAAAACCGGAACGCAATAATATAGCAAAATCTCCAACTTCATGGGGAATTTCATGCACTGAAAAAAAAAACAATTGAAATCGAATAAAAATTAGGAATATGAAACAAACACAGAACAATTTGTTATATTGCAATTAATTAATATTATAGCCTTATATATTATATATACCGATTTCTTATCTGGGTAGAAATACAATTTTTGTATTCACACAAAACTTCTATATTGAAATGTTGGAGGTATTCTCACAGAAATTAACGAGGTAGTTTCATAGAAATCCAAATCACATAAAAAAATAATTCTTCTCATAGAAGACCAGGAAATCTTCCCATAAAAGACCAGTAATTTTTTTTTTGAAAAATTAACTTCCCAGAGGAGACTTGGAGGTCTTATTATAGAATACTCGAACATTTTCTGCCTTTACACTAAATGTTCGCACAGAAATTCACGATGTTTTCTCATAGAAGTCCAAGAGGTCTTCATTTAAAAGACTCGAAAATCTTGTTATAGAAAACTTGCAAGTCTTAAGAGATATGATCTGGAGGAGGAGGTCCGATGTTGTGTGACTTTTTCCCATTAAAGGTCTGAAGGTGTTTTTCATTTCAGTAGATGTGGAGGTCTATTAAATGTAGGTCTAGAGGTCTTCTCCTTCTTCTACTTTTTTGTTTATAGAAGATTAGATGTTTTCTCAAAAAAGGACATCTCAGAGAAGACTTGATGGAATGATGTTGTGTGACTTCTTTTTTATCTTTGTAGATGTGGAGGTCTTCTCATTGCAGGTCTTCTTCTAGAACATCATAGAAGAAGGCAACATCTTTCCATAGAAGATTAGGAGATATTTTCATGGCATAGAAGGCTAGTAGGTATTCTTTTGGATGTCTGCACATAGAAGTCTATTTTTTATTCTTATAGAAGACCAGAAGTTTTTCTGGTAGAGGACCATTCCGGTTGCAACACTTTGAAATATTTTTGATCAGAATAAAATTCTATCAAACAAATTGACTGCAATATTTCAAAAAATATTTTTAGGTTAGATTCCATATAACGCCACCTTCCAAATTCCGGTATATTTTTAAATTCTCATTGGGTAGAAAATCTCCCTACCAAAAATAATGAATTTTGCCACAAGTTCGGTAATGTTGGGCACGTTTTTCATCCGAATAACTTATAATTTGATATTCTGGATTCTATTTGAATATGGCCACAATAATGGTTCACCCTATTATTCAGTATTTTGGACACTATTTTCCGAATTGCCTCAAATTAGATATTTTGGGATTTCTTTATGTATCAAATCTACCCATCAAAAATTATAATGATATCCCCAATTTTGTCTACTTACATAAAATGGCAAATGTTGCCAATACACCGTGACGGAATGAGACCAAAAATGAACCCGCTACAGCCAAACCATGTGTAAAATTATCAATGGAATTGGCCATTAAATTCAAATAGCCAGCTATTTTTTTCGGTTGTTCCTTTTTCTGTTCACGTTCACGCAAAAAACAGCCGTTGGGTACATCTTCAATATCACAGGAACCGTTGCCGCTACAACTGCTCGATGTCTGGCCCTCGGGTAATTTACCACCATTTCGTCGCAGCAGACAATTGGCAATTTCAACACATTTTGGCTGGGGATTTTCCTCATCGGCATTACAATAGCCCGAGAAGATTTTCTCAACAATTGTGAAAATAAGTATGCCACCTAAGACCCAGAGACCGGAACGCAGCGAATGTGAATGTTCATGGTCGGCAGATGCTACAAGAAAAGAAAAACAATCAAATATTTATAGGAAAATAAGGAATTTGAAATGTTTAATACTTACATAAATCACTGTCACCCTCCCAGGCTTCGGGCAATAAATGCAAAAACACATCACCCAATAGACCACCAACGGCAAAACTTAATAAAACTTTTAGGAACTTTGATTCACCAGCTGGAAAAAAAGAAAAACAAATAAATAATTAATTTGTTATTGGAATTTGAAATTTAATTTTATTCAATGGACTTACGATCTGAATATCCTTGCTTTTTCAATTTCTCATCGTTGGGTATAATGATAAGCGGTAAAATGCCACTTAAACCGATTACCACTGAACCCAGCAGTGAAAATACCCATGGTGTATATTCGAAGGCTTTGAAATAGTCCGGTACATAATTCTTGACCAGATGTGTATATAATAAAACTAAATTATCATCAAATGACGATGTGGTATTCATGGTGATGATTTTTCGATTGGTTGATGGTGGTTACTACTGCAAACTGACTGACTGACTAACTTCTAGATAATTTAATATCACATAAAAATATATGTAGGAGTTGTGAGGAGGACGGGTGTTTGATGATAACTAACTTATAATTTATATTTCAGGATGGTATCAAAATTATTCCAATATCAATAATAATCTCAATTGGAAGACAGCGACGACTTAAGCCGCAATGATAAGTTAAGCTTTTCTACTGGAGGGAATTTTTTTCTTATTTAAATGTCCATAACCACTTTGAATTTATCTGCAAAAAAAAAAAGATAATGTTCATTAGTAAAACAATGGCAATCAATATATTTACATATATAAAAATAAAATAAAAAAAAAACGTTTTATAAGTCATTGTTGATGGGTTGAATTAGCAAGTATGTCTATTTTTTGTTGCAAAAATATATAGTAAAAAATATCGCACACAGAAAATGTGGTGCAGTGCGGTGGTCTGCAATTAGTACTACACTCTAAGTATCTTCCCTGGCAACATCTCGATTTTAAATTATTTTAAGGAAAAAAATATATATTTTTTATTTGTTTTATTGATATGTAAATCTTTTTCTTTTTCATTTTTTGATATACAACCAAAGCCCATGGGTCAGTCAACCAATTTGCTATGTTACGTCAATTTGTCTAAATCTCATCAGATAAGATAAAAACGAAGTATGTATCTGACGACTGTTACGCGATTGGTTCATCACACCCGATTTTAAATCTACAAAGAAATTTGTGAACACGTGTAATTTGTAAAAAAAATTGCCATTTTTTGTGCGTGCCGTTTGGACAGATTGTAAATTATTTTGAAGGGTATTAGGGTGGGTTTGAATCAATTTGACATTTCGAAAGAAAAGTAAATTCACATTTTCCTTTTGTTAGCTATGATAAGAAACTTTTCCCCATGTGGATAATTGATTTATTTGAGGGGATATGAGGGCACAGTTATTTTAGAATATATCTAGGCGCCTCACCACAGAGTCTTTAGATTTAATTTTGCTATAATTTTTCAATAAATGATAATCGATTCTGAAATGTTAGAAATCTGGCTTGTGTACAGGATAACATGCAGGATATTCTGACCCATCACCATAGTAACATAGAATTGTTGAACCTAACGAACAAGGAACCCAAACGAAATCAGATTAAACCTTCGAAATGGTGATGGTTTTCAATATTTCGATGAGGCACATTCTTGATGTATCAAAGTGTACGTACCCAAGCAGCAATTAGGCTGAGGGCATATTTCTTAAAGTAATTTTCAAAGCCCCTCGAAAGATTAGATTTGGTTACAAAAATTGTTTTCACGGGTCTTCAGAAGAACTATTTTTTATAGGGTCTTAGGAATCCTAGCTTTTTTAACTAAAATATTTTTCAGATTAAAAAAAGGAAATTACTTTCCAATATCTTTCAGTTTCTCGATTTAAAACCACCCAAAAACCAATAAGGAAAGTAGTAAAGTTGGACTGGCCAGACTATATGATAACCTTTACCACTTTTGGTATAATCACATCTTATGTTTTCGGACAAGCGTCGCCTTTTCGAAGGAACATTGACATGAAATTGAACGAACTTAAATATGTGATCTTTATCTATATGTAAACCGACTAACATTAATCATGTGCAAGGATCCATCCCGCAATCAATGCTAAATTTTTTAAATTAATTTAAATTTTAATCTCAATTAACAAGAATATGTCGAAATGATATATGGACGCTATGCTATATCTAAATCTGAACCGATTTCAAGGAAACTTGCCAGAGATTAATTTATATTATCCTTAGTACGTTGTGTCAATCGGCCTAGCTATAGGTATTTATTGCGCCATTTACTATAAATCGGTCGAAAATATATATAGGAGCTATATGCAAATCTGAACCGATTTCAAGACATACGTAAGGCTATACTAATTTCAGTACATTGTACAAACTTTGGGTATTTTGTGTCAAACTTTGGGTATTTTGTGCACAAATTACATTAAATCGGACAAAAATATATATATATATATATATATATATGTACACAATTGGCCAAACTTTGGGTATTTAGTGCACAAATTACATTAAATCGGACAAAAATATATATAGGAGCTATATCAAAATCTGAACCGATTTTCACAAACCTTAGTACACATCATTTTGGATATAATTCAGTCCGCTATGTCCAATTTCGTGCACATCAAAAGATATATAGGGGCTATGTTGCACCATTTACATGAAATCGAACGAAAATATATATAGGAGCTACATTTAAATCTGAACCGATTTTCACGAAACTTTGCACACATCATTCTAGACATAATTCAGTACGCTATGCCAAATTTCGTGCAAATCGAAAGGTATATAGGGACTTTGAAGCATCAATTACATAAAATAGGACAAAAATATATATGGGAGCTATATCTAAATCTGAACCGATTTTCACTATCCTTAGCACACATCATTCTAGACTGAATTTAGTCTGCTATGCCAAATTTCTTGCATATCAAAATATAAAGACGGACTTTGGTGCATCAATTACATAAAATCGGACGAAAATATATATGGAAGCTATATCTTAATCTGAACCGATATTTACGAAATTTTGCACACATCATTCTAGACCTAATTCAGTAGTCTATGCCAAATTTCGTGCATATCAAAATATATATAGGGACTTTGGTATACCATTTACATTAAATCGGAAGAAACTATATATGGGAGCTATATTTTAATCTGAACTGATATTCACGAAACTTTGCAGACATCATTCTATACTCAATTTAGTATGCTATGCAAAATTTCGTGTATATCATAAAATATAGAAATTGAACGAAAATATATATGGGAGCTACGAAACTTTGCACACATCATTTTGGACATAATTCACTACGCTATTCCCAATTTCGTGCATATCAAAAGATATAGAGGGATTTTGGTGCATAATTTACATTATATCGCTATATCTAAATCTGAACCGATTCTCACCAATTTCAATAGGATTTCAATAGCCCAAGGACAAATCCTAAGGAACCATGTGTTTACTTTTGTCTGCTACAAACATATGCACAAATACATATTACTCTGTAGCACATAGTGGTGAAGGGTATAAAAATACATATTTTTACCAGATATGAAGAACGTAACGTTTGTTTGTCAATAAATTCAACTGACCAGGAGACAACAACAGTTGAGCTCTATATATCCCTATTCTTCACATTCTGGGAGACCTTGTTAACTTTTTATCCAACACTCTACCGAATGCATATAATCACAAATAGATCACATTACATCCATAACATGGGTGCTGAGGTCTGTAAATGCGACATTTAACAAATGATGATTTTTTCCTTTATATTTTGCATCACACTTTCATTCACGTTTTTGTTTGTTTAATAAATATTCAATCTTAATATCTTGTTCTCACAAATGAAATTTACATTTGTAACCGGGGTATATAGCAAACCGTTCCATTTATAATTAACAAAAACAAATCGCTACTACCAAAGAATAAAATGACCCACATCGTTTGTTATTAAAATAACTTGAAACACTTTTTTCTTAACAAAATAATACATTTACAAAATACTTTTGTAATATCGATATTAATAAACCGCAACAACATCGGAGAACACCACAATTTTTAAAAAAAAAGAATAATATAATACAGTTTCCAATTATGCATATTTCAAGATCACTTAAGTGTTGGGCGCCAGAGAAACGAACGCAGGCGCAGTGAACGAACGAGCACGAAATATTTGTAAATGACTGATGTAAGTTTTCAAGTTTAACCAGTAAGACAATATTTGCAAAGCAGCATTACAAAGCAAAAAAAAAAAAAAAACACTAACAACACTAAATATGCTTTTCAAATAAATATCATAACAAAACGAAAAAGAAACAGCCACAACTGTAATCTTAAATGTAACGTTTTGAAATGAAATAAAAAGTGTCAACAAACCAACTACTGACTGGCAAGCAGTTAAAACAACAACAACCAAACAACCAACTACCAAACCAAACCACTTTACTGTGGAACAGTCTGTGTGAACTTCAAAGTGTGTAAATGATAACTGATTCGAAAAAATCGGAAATGTTAAAATATAAACTAAGGGAAAAATTACTTTTTGCACGTTCGTAAATTTCTTTTTTTAGAGATTTTAGAAACAATGTATTTTTGTTGTTATTGTTTTGATAAGATATGAATATTTTGATTTGTTCCCTTTTGGGGTATAAATAAATCAAGTTAAATGTATCCTATCTGCGATGGGGGGATAACGACGACAATGAAGAAAAGCAACAACTATGAGGAGGAGGAGGTGAAGAAAAAATTTTTGGGAATCTTTTAATGGGGACGGTGTAATACTTTGTCACACTTGAATTTTTGAAGAAACAACAAAGACATGGTTATAAATAAAAAATTGGGCGGACAGGTCCTATAGAAAACATGTTTGGTTAATATTACGTAGGAGGCAAAGACGATATATTTCTTGTCTTTTATATATAAACTTTAAGCAAAAAACCAATACTATTCATTAGGTAACTGTGAAAAACAATCAGCGGGCTCAGGGGGAGAGTCTCGGAGGAAATGACCTATGATTCCTGAGCTGACGAGGCGAGAATGGCGCCCCTAAATAATCATTTCAAAGGTCTGGGTCACTTCCTCTTAAAGTGACCCCCCTAATACTGGGGTGTCATGCGACCTCGTGCCCGTCAGCGTTCTATGGTTTGCAGTCAGGGTCCCGACTGTATTAGAACGGAGCCTTGATACCTGGGCGTCTCAACAAGTTTATTCAGGCTTAGTTGTCAAGTCCTTACCATGGTCGATCTCAATCCCTCACCAAAATCACTTTCTATGGAGACGAATTTTATTAACTCCCTACTTCTAAATACAAAAATAACATGGTATGTGATTTTTTGAACTCTACAAGGTCAGACTTCAATGAACCCCCACAAATGTGGACGACCCAAGCTAATCCCCTGGACCTCTTTTTT